ATGAGTCTGTCTCTGACCCAACCAACCTGAAGTGAAGGAGGTGATGCTCTTTCCCTTCCTGATCCTGCAGAGTCCAATTTAGATTATGAACTGTGGCGCCCCCTGGAGACGAACATGGCAGCTCAACCACTCCAGACTGATTCACAAACAGCTCATCTTCAACAGAGTCAAAGTTTACACTGTTAATCTCACTGAATCTCAGCAGAAGGAAATATGAACATAAATTTAAACTTTTTAACAATATTAACTGACACTTAAATTAAACTATCAAATTATAATGACTTTTATTGTTTTCAAAGCCATAACTCAATAAAACAAATGAGATAATGAAATAATTCCACAAACTCTCACCTGCTTCTGTCACTGTCACATTCATTTCATGGGAGATTTTCTTTTTTTCATGTGAAGAAATTTTAGCCTCACACGTGTACATCCCACTGTCCATTGAGGTAATGTTCTTCAGGATCACACTGAGATCTCCAGATTTTAAATGTGAATCTTTGAGTTCCACTCGTTTTGAGAAAAATGGGTTTTGGCTCATTATGTCGCACTTTGCCGTCTCTGTACAAAAGGACATATCTGTCTTTACCCTTCAGTTTCCATTCAAGGATCACAACTTCACCTTCAGGGGCCTGGCAGGGAAGTTCCAGTTTAAATGGGGTGCTGATTTTCTCTGGCACTAAAACAGACAAAGTTAACACTGTTAATGACAGCCTTTGTGCAATTGGAGTGCAATAGTTTCAACTAATACTGTATATGTATATATATATACTGTATATGTATATATATATATATATATATATATATATATATACTGTATATGTATATATATATACTGATATGTATATATATATATATGTATATGTATATACATACTGTATATGTATATATATATGTATATATACATACTGTATATATATATATATATATATATATATATATATATATATATATATATATTATATATATATATATATATATATATACACACACACATATATATGCTAAAATGTAGTTTGAAACGTAATCCATTAAATTACTTAAAGTGAGTAACGTAATCTGAATACATTGGATTACTTGATATTGTCTTGCTTTTTAAAACTACATGTAGCAACCACATCCTGAAAATTCATGTTTGGTCTCTTCAAATTGTCTGTTGAGCCCAAGTCTCCATGAATAGGCAGTTGTTTGCTGTAGAGAAGCAAAGATGAGGAAATCTTAACATAAGATAAGTCTGCTTAAAGACAATTAAAAGCCCAGTCTTTACTTAACCATATTAAAAAATATTGATAGAGAAAATGATTTCTATATGAGATCACTGCTGCCTGAAATTATGTCCACCTACTGTTAGGTGATATATTGTTTACACCTTTCCTGGTTTAGTTTTAGACCTGGTTTAGTTCCGGTTTAGTCCTGGTTTAGTCCTGGTTTTAGTCCTGGTTTAGCCCAAAATGTGTGAAAACTACCACCATGTAATCCATTTATTTCAACAAAGTAACGGTAATTCCAATTACCACTCATGAAAACAGTAACTGTAACTGAATACAGTTACAATTTGTACTCTGATGACGTAACACCGTACATGTAATCCGTTACTCCCCAACACTGCATATACACATGTAAATATGCAGAGTCTAAAAACAAAAGCACTTTCCTGACTGGTACATTGGTACATTGGTACATTTGTGGTGTAAATGCAGAGACTGGTCTGAGCACAACAAGGAGCTGCATTAGTCATTTGTGGTTTGGTCTGACAAAAGTAAAGAGCTCACAGGAAGAGCTTCACAAACATCACTAGAGGAACAGGTGTGATGGAAGCCACCACTCTGCTCTGTGAGTGTAACTACTCAGGTTTTCTTTTGTCTTCAATTTAAAATTGAATAACTTCTGTAAAATTGTCTCTTTTTTTGTAGTTTGGGCTTTACTGGTCTTTACTTGTCCGTTCTACCCCACACTCCAAGGTCAGTCTCTCAGCTCTATTTTCACCTATTAGCCCTGATATAATATTTCTCAGCAAAAATACATTTGGGGATGTCTTTTGTTTCATTCAGGCATATTTTTATTCACCTATATGTAGAAAAAAAAAAATGAAATTAAAGTTCTGAAACAGTCAAGGGTGGTCAAGGATAGTGATTTTCAGCCATTTCACTGACATCAGTGGAGTCCAGTGCCACTGCACTGGGCAGGGATCAATAATGATTTATATGCTTTACTTTTATTGTGGAGGTGTAACAAATCTGAGAGAAAAGAGCACTGATGGACTTTGTGTGCAGGTCTTCTCTGAAATGTGCCTCTGCCACCTCAGCTATTACACAGCGTTCATGCATGCATGTCGGCTATTCACATTTCTGCTTCTGTTCGTGACTCAGTATTTTGAGCATATACAAAAATCATTCATCTGTTGTGAACTCTTTTTTCAAAACCCAATGGAAACTAGGCATTTTGCCTCTAATCTGGTGAAGGAAATATTTGCTTTATGACCTTAATATTACTGCACATTGTCCATTCAAATAAAGACTAAACTCAACTCAGCATTCCTAATTAATCAAAGCTGCTTCCACAGTGACATTTCTCAGACAGTGGGCACTAACTTCCGCTCAGAAAATAGTATTTATGTTTTACTGGACACCACTTGAAAGCAGCATTATATTGTGTACATGTCTCCAGTTAACATTTCCAGATCACTCATTACCCTATAATTACTCAGCTCTGCTCCAGCCGTAAACTGTGGACAGAGGGCAGTAACTGTTGTGTGAAAATATTGTGTCTCTCACAGTGCGTCTGAGAGTGAGTCCTGACAGGCTCCAGTTCGTCAGATGGGACTCAGTGTCTCTGATCTGCACTCCTCCTGAGGCCTCTGGACGCTGGGTTGTGGTCAGAAAATACCAGCACAAACACCCGGGGGCGCTGTGAGGATGACTGGGGCAGACTTAAGGACTCTGTGTGTGTACAGTTGGGGCACTTGTTCCAGAGGACAGTGGTCTGTACTGGTGTGAGCGAGGAGCACACATGTCTGAAGCTCTCAGCATTACTGTGTCTGCACAAGGTAACTCCAGACTGAAAACAGCTCAGCAGCACAGGTCCTCAGTACCACCAACTACAGCTGACTTTAGTCATGGTTTTGTTTTAGTGTTTCAACACCTTTAACAATAGGGAGGGTGATACAGTTGGAGCCAGATCACCATTCATGTTGACTAGCATATTTAAAAACTGCACCTCACTGTTGCTGTTTGACTCATATGTTTTCTTTCACAGAGTTAAGACCACCCACTGACCCAACCCCAAGCCCCTTCAGTGAGACTTCACCCCCCTCAGCAGAGACTCCTCCCCCCTCAGAGCGCCCCCTGGCTGTGGCTCTGATTTGCCACCTGCTGGTGCTGTGTCCCTATGTGCTGTCCACTGTTATCATGGTCTCTCTCTGCAGACACATGCAAACAGGTGAGGGGCCTTGTCTGTGAAAAACTCCACTACTGCTGCAGCCAGTTTAGTAATAAAAATGTACATACATGTATCTATATAGATTTTATATTTTACACTGAAAGACATTCCTTCACATTATTGATTCACTCCACTCTCGGTGGTGCTACCTGTTTGTCTCCATGGATGGAGATGTTTTGTGTGGAAATGTTCAACATTGTGGCATTAAAATAATTTTGTATTTATTCAAATTAATGCAGGTATTTTTATTCTTAGAGCCACATTTGCTACATGTGTCTCTTCTTGGTTTGTCACCAAAGTGATTTTTGATTTATTTACAAATACAGTGTGCAGTGGTCTGATTTTTGACACAAACTGCTGCTTTTATAATATTCTTTAAGGAGAATAGGTTAAATGTACAAATTTACAACAAAAAAACTATTATTTTTATTTGTTTGATTTATTGATTGGGGACGAGTATGTACTTTAAACAGTACAGTATTATAGCAGCCTTGAGTATTCCATTAGTATTTCACCATCTCATAATTGTAAAGTTACTCTTTTTGGTCTCTGCAGAGGAGGCCCCTCCCCCTGTGACGCGGGATTATGACATCACAGCGATTGCCACTGAGCATGACTTTTGATGCAGCAGCCTCCTGTGCCCCTCTGATTCTTTGTTTATTTTATGTTGGGCACAAAGCAGAATGACCTGTTGATCTGGTTTTGGTTTGTGAGTTGGAGGCGATGCTCCTTCTGTTTGCTCTGCACAGAGTCACTATAAAATCATTTGAATATTGTCAAACACAGCGGTCCTTTCCCCAGTCCTGGTCCTGGTCCTGGTCCTGGTTTAGTTTTGGTCTTTTCAATACTCGTTATCCTGCTTCTTCTGAGCATGTTTGAAGTCCTAATCTGTCATTTAAATTCAGCATTCAGATGATCTAATTGTTAAAGTGCACTGTGTAACATTTCTGAGACTGTCAGCCATCTGTTTGTCCCTATGGAGATATTATTGCTTTGCCTGGAATGTTCCACAGTGTGGCATAATCACCATGTAAGCAAGTAGAGTATGGCACAAGGCCCAGTACAGTTAGATCTGTGGAGAAATCAAAACGACCACAGTGACAAAAGACATAATTTTAATGCCATACTCTCGAACATTTCATATTTCATCATTTACTTGGAGACAATCAGATGTGCGCCAACACACCACAAAAGTTACATGAGGTTTCTTTAAGTTCATAACGGGGTCATATAATTCCAGCTATGTGTGTGCCTTTTTCACTGTAATGACATTTTGGCAGATTTGAACCTGCCCCAGTTTCACTGTTGGCCTCAGTCCAAACTCATGCCTCATTCTTAAGACCAGGTCTTAGTATACAAGCACATTTCACAACTTTCATGGACCAAGTGAGAGTAAGCATTCCAATCTGACTTCCTGTTTGTGAATGAAATAAAAACAGTTTTAAATTTGATGCAGCCAGCACACAGCTGTCAGATACTGTCACTAGGAATTATCACACAACAAATGTATGAGGACGCGAATTTAACTACCAGAACAAAGATTTAGGTTCTGATTTAGTCCTGGTTTAGTTCTGATTTAGTCCTGGTTTAGTTCTGATTTAGTCCTGGTTTAGTCCTGGTTTAATTCCTGTCTTACCTGGAGGAGAGTCGACATGAGCTGGTAAAGTCCAATACGAAAACACGAGACAAAACATGCACGCTGTAGCCATGTTCAGACTACAGCCGTGTTCAAACTACAGCTGTGTTCAAACTAAAGCCGGCTACAGGAAGAACATCCTCAGACAATACCCTCACAATTCCAACCAATCACAGCCAAGAGGGGCGGGGCTTTTACAATTGCTCTGTGTCTGATTCCTTCCTCTGTGCTTGAGCAAAAAATATCTTGCCCCAGTACAGACATATATGTACTGGGACAAATATGCAGAGTATGAGGTCAAAATAAGACTGTTGTGTTCTGTCTGCATCTAATTACAAAGCATTTTATTGACCGATAATCAGGAAGTGCGCGTTTGGAGACTAGGTGTTTTGCCATCTTTACAGCAGCTCTCTGTTCTGGTTTCTGAAAGTTGTGAAAAGTGCTTTTAAATTCATTGTGGTGGAGTAATTAGTATGCTCAGAATGCAAGTAAATGCTCATTTTTAAAACAGCTTAAAACAGTATAAATCAGGTACAACACCTTCATGTTAAAGCTGCACTGTGAAACTTTTCTGGTGGAAGGTATCTGCTTCTCTCCATGGAGGTGCTGCCTGGAATGTTCCGCGGTATGGCATTACATTTGTTTATCTATATGAAGACAGCAGGTGGTATCATAAGGGCCAAGTTACATGTCAGGTCTGTGGAGAGGCGAGCCCATTCACAGTAAGAATGCAAGTTTTTAGGTCAATAACAGCTCATGTTATTGAGTAAATGCGCGATGGATAAGTTTAATGCCACAGCAGGACATCCAGGACAAAAGAATAACACATCTATGGAGACCAGCAGATGGTGGACTCTCCTCCATAAAAGTTACACAGTGCACCTTTAATACATCTTAATATGTCCAAGATTTTTTAAACCTTTATTTAGATTCTAATACTGAAAATGTGCACTTTTGGTCATTTTTACATATCTAGATAACACCAAGATCATATTTTATACAGTGATGTACTCAGAAAAATCATTGTATTTATTTTCACCTGCAATGTTTCAAAATGCTACAGTTTATTTTCTTTGTGGTTTAAATAAATAAATTAATAATAATAATAAAATACATTGTGAAATATTTCATACAAAGTTAGTTCACTGTAACACAAATTCAGTCCAGTTACTAAACTGAAACTTGTGTTCAGTTCAGTAACTGGACTGTTCCCTACTTGAACATATAGTAGTTTTCAGACACTTTTACTTCCACTTAAGTAATATATTTTACAGTGTAACAGCACTCTTATTGAGTAAACATTTTGGTTTTGTGACTAAGTCTACAAGAGACAAAAGCTTCATGTTGACAATATGAAATCATGAAATCGTGTTAACATTGTGTAACTTTTCTGGTGGAGGGTTTGTCAAATGCTATTCTCCATGCAGATTGCTTATTGATTATTGCTTTGTCTGGAATGATTCACAGTATGGCATTAAACCTCATGGAGGTCAAACCAGGCGAAGTTACAGGTCAGATCTGTGGAGAGGTGACCCCGCTCACAGACAGAATGCCTGGTTTCTAGGTATTTTTGAGCTATAAAACCACCTGTAATTGAATAAATGTAAATTAGTGCTGTTTAATGTCATACTGTGGAATATTCCAGGCAGAACAATGATGTATCCATAGAAACAAGCAGGTGACAGACCTCCTACCAAAAAGTTACACATTGCACCTTTAAATGTGATATATAACATAAATTAATTCTTTGGAAATACCATAGTGTGTTCTTTATTTAATATTTGACCTGCATGATTTCAAATAGAGATAGACCGATATATTGCTTGGCCGATATACCATGCCGATATTTGGCCTTTTTTAAGTGTAAATCTCCAGCACAGACCGATATTTTGTTTTGGGCGATCTGCTGCCTAAAAATGCACACAAACCTTTGTATTAACACTTTAATACGAAGAGATAGATACATAGCTCTCTTATAGGTTTGTGGTTAAAAAAAAAAGAAAGTGCTTCAGCAATTGCCCAAATGAAAAAATACAATGTAAAAAAATTCAATAAATAACAACATACTGTGCAAGTAACAGGGTATTTAAACAATAGAACATAATTTTGAGCATTAAATCATAGTTTTTTGTTTTATATTCCTGTGTGGCCTTATATCTCTGTACTCCCTCAGTTCTGCAGGTATGTTCCATAGTGGTCCATGGGCGTATACTAGTCTATGTGCTCTTATAATTGTTCTGATTCAGCTCAAGATCATTCTAAAGCTATTCAGGACAGGTTCATTTCTGTCTTCTGAGTGTGACTTATGAGCTGGACTGGTCAGACTTATGTAAAATAATGCAAATAATAAGAGACACTGAATGAACTCCGATCATGAGATATTGACATTTGCATAGTCGCTTGTTTCCTCAGCATCTGCAAAAAAAGGAAACATGTTTTAATACATTTAAAGGTCCTATATTAAGAAAAACTGACTCTTGTGAACTTACAGTATAGCCGTATTATAATGTTACCTCATCAAAACATACCTGAAGTTTTGTTTGTTTCATTCACACAGTTTGAGTAATCCTATTATTAGTCTGTTGACATCTCTCAGCTCAAAATACTCTGTTCCACCTTGTGATGTCATGAAGCAGGAGTTTTCAAGTTAACAAGTACCTTTTACCTTTAGTTTAGTAGAGATTTGCTATTCCAGGGCTGAAATCATCCAAATGATATTTGGTGAAGGTGTATGGAATTGAAAAACACAGTGGAGTGCTTCCAGTATTGCCACATGACATCACAAGGTGGAACAGAGTGTTTTCTGTATAACAGAAGAACTCAGCCTAAATATGCAGGATTTGTGTATGAATGAAACAAAACACAACTCCAGGTATGTTTGTAATGAGAAAACAACATTATAAATAGATGAGAAAATAGTGTAATACAGATCCTTTAAAGTTGACTGTATACTAATCCATACTGTACCTTTGCTGTTTGAGCCTCTGATAGGTTCATAGACATTAACATCACCTGCAGATAATGTTTAAAAAGTTAAATTATTACAACAGTTGTATAAAGTTGAATTTGAATTGTTTGTTTAGTTGAACTGACTGTGAAGAAGAGATGAATACAACTGCTGCTGATTGTCGGCAGGTGAATCCTCCGGGTCATTTTCAGCGTCACTTAAACATCAAGATTATGTTTACACGACAAGTCACGAGTTTGGACACACCTTCTCATTCACTGTATGTTTTTTTGTTTACTTCTTTCTATATTTTCTACATATAGAAGACATCAAATATATGATACAAACATGATATATGGAATTGGAGGAAAGGAAAAAAGTGTTTTAACTCAATTAAATATGTTTTTCATCATCACTATTATTTTTTATATATATAGCACTTTTCTAAACACTCAAAGACGCTATACAGAGAATACAATTAAAAAGAGTATTCTATTCAAATCCTCAAAGTATCCATCCTTTACTTTGTTGACAGTGCTGCAAACCCCTGGCCTTCTCTCAGTGATGATAAAGTCTCCTGAAATGGTTTTCACTTCAAGCTGTGTCATATCAAGGTCAAGAAATGCTAAAAATGCAAAGCAGTGATCAAAGAAAAGGGTGGCTATTTTTAAAAATCTAAAACAAGTTTGGAGTTACTTTGAGTTTATTTTTTGTTTCCGACATTCCATATGTGAGAATCTACAGGTGAATAATCATAGAAATAAGGAAACATGAATGAAAAAGTGTGTCCAAACTTTTGATTGGTAGTCTAAATAAAACTCTTTATGATACAAACCACTAACTTAAAATGATCTGAATAAGACCCACCTGTTCTGGCATCTTTCTGTAAAAAATAAAAAGATACTGAAAAACACTGAAACGTTCTTCTTGTGATTTAGTGCTGAAATCTTACCTGTAGTTTTTTTGTACCAACAGACGACTATCAGGGTGAGAAGAATGACAGCACACACCAGGCCAGCAATAATAATAGGCCCATTAGAATTGACTAAAAAGACAAAAAGTGAGTATTGTTTTACCTGGAAGTCTAAGATATTTTTCCATATATACACTAACAACCATTATATTTACATGAGTAACTTTTTTTAAAGAAATTGTACTGTTCAGAGTGCTTTAACTCCTAACTGAGTAATATTTTTTGTTGAAATAACTGTACTTTGAATGAATGAAATGTTTCTCTGCCCACTGAGAGTAATTTGTCTCATTTTGTGTCTATCCTTTGAAAATAACAGAATTTGTGCAATATTTAATATTTTGTTCATACAATTAGGTTAACTTCAAATTATAAATTAGATATTATGTCCAGACAGTTGATCTACTTTCGAGTAGTATTTTTCCTAAATACTTTCTTGAACCACTACTTTGTACTTCTACCTGAGTTGAATGTTATTGTGAAGCAACGTTACTCTTACATGACTACATTTTTAGCTACTGTATCCACCTCTGGTAACAACTACTACAACAACAACTACTACTACAACTACTACTAACCTGTATCATTGCCTTTGGTTGATTGGCAGTTGATGCTCTTGCTCTCTGACACCTCACTGACCATATTAGAACACAGTACATATAACGGTAATGGTGCCATCTTGTGATGTAAGAGGGTACTCCAGCATGGGTCCATTGTAGTTCCTGTTGTTCACTGTCCACCTGTAGCTCACGTCTTTGTGAAATTCTGAGCTGCACTGTGTCAGAACTACACAGGAGCTGTTTGTGGTTTGGGTGGTGTTGATGACAGTCACAGTGGGTGTCAACGTCAGGACTTCTGCAAAATTCAAAATATTTACAGTTAGAGTGATTATGTATCTATAACCTGCTGTCAACTGTCTGATATTTAAATATAGATTTATTTGAGCACAACTTGGCTAATTCACAATGAATGGAGCAGGAAGTGCGACTGCAGTTTTGAGAGACGTGGAACTAGCCAGGCAGCCGGGGCCTATTACTGCCAAATATCATATACAAAACAAAATGGAGTCAAAATGAACCAAATAGTCACAATTATTATAATGAAATACAACATTTTTTTTCCAAACAATAAAACAGGCCAAAAACAAAAAAAAAGCTATTAAAATATACAATATCTATAGAAAATACTTACAACAATATCACTCTCCACTACATTTCATGTTACAATTTATCTTATTTGGTTAAGTATGCATGAGTTTTTGTTTTGTTTTGTTTTTTGTTTTTATGCTCTCTTGTGTAGTTGACTCCATATCACCCCAGGTATCATATGTGTTATTTATGTGATTTTGTGGGTCTTTGATGTCCCTGTATTTGAACATGTTGAATAAAAAAAAGGCAAAACAAAGAACAAAAAAACCAAACAAAAACAAAACAACAACAAAAAATCCACTAGGACAACATTTTTAAACAGGGTCATTTACAGTAGTTTATGACTCAGTTTCAAGAACAGGACCATGGCCATTTAAAATAAAGAGGAAATAAATCCACTTTCTCGGCTAAACTGTGTATCATAGACTGTATTTGGTGTTATCTGTTCCTTGGGATTTTTAGCAACTTAAGTGCCAACTAAATAAATTTGCAACTTTCTGTTCGAAAATGGCTGCAGGGGCAGAGTTTGTGGATACCTGTTTGACCAATCACAGTGCTCCTTATACCTCCAAACCCCACCCCTCCTCATCCTAGTCACTCTCCCCTGCCCCAGTTTAGCAGCTCTATTAGAAATGTGGTTGTGGGCGGAGTCCCTCTGTAAAGAGACGCAAAACTGACTTTTGTGAGTCGTGGTATAACTGGAGTTGTGTTTTATTTCATTTACATGTTTTAGTAAACCTTTATCATTAGTCTGTCTACAGATCCAAAACTCAAAATGCTCTGTTCCACTTCCACCCTATGATGTCACGTAGTGGTAGTTTTCAAGTTAACAGCTTTAACCTTCTACTTTTTTGTTCAGTAAAGATTGGCAATTCCAGGGCTGAAATTATCCAGATGATTCTAGTGAAGGGGTATGAAGTTTAAAAACACAGTGGAGCCCTTCCTGTATTACCGCATGACATCACAAGGTGCAATAGAGTGTTTTCTGTTTAAGAGAAGAATTCTGCCTGAAAATGCAGGATTTTGTAAAAACTAAACTCCAGGTACGTTTGTGTTGAGGAAACAACAGTAGATCAGAAAACAGTGTAATATGGGTCCTTTAAGTATTACAGTAATTTGTAATAGGTCATATGAATAAACATAGCTGTAGTCTCACCTTGTACCACTAGTTTGATGCAGTATGTACGGGTCTTTGTCCTGATGTTCCCTGTGAGATAAAAGTAAAATCCCCAGAGTCTGTGGTCTTCAGCTCTTTTAATGTTAAACTGTAATTTGTTTTGTCCATTGTCTCTCGGCCAGAAAACTGATGTCCAGTAATATCTGCTTTTGAGTCTGCAATTTTTTTTTTGATTATATTTCCACTGCGCCTTAGTGATTGTTTCTTTGATTGGTCCTGGAGACAGCACAATGTTTCCTCCCTCTCGTCCATACTCTGTTTGACAACTGGAAACCTCAAGAGCTGAAACAAATCAAATGAAATGGGGGGTCAAAAAGTCTTAGTATTTTAGAATAAAAATACATTAGCCACAGAAGAAAAAATAATGCAAATAAATCTGCCAAATACAATGCTTTTCTAATATAATGTATAATATTACTGTGATTAAAAGGAAAAAAAAATGAAGTCAATCACAAATTTGAAACAGCTCAGTCAAAACAAAGAAGCGAGTAAAAATTGTTATAAGAGGATCCATGCAGAAGTAATTAAGCCAAGAACTATGCTCAAGTAAAAGGAATGTTACTTCAGAATAATATGTCTTAAGTAAAAGCACAAAGTAGTCCAAGCAATTACTCAAGTAAAGTATTTGGGAAAAGTACTATTGAAGTAACTGTAGGGACATAAGCTCTGATTTATAATTTGGAATTGAAAATGACAGATTTTGTGCATTATTTAAAGCACAAACACAAACATGAGAAAAACTAAATCATATCTGAAGGAACGGTGCAAGAAACATAAATGTTCATAAATCATTTTTTTATTGTCAAGATAAAGCTTTTGTCACGTACTCACAGTGGGAAGAAGAACCACAACTTTTACTCAAGTAAGTACTATTACTTCATTTAAAATATTGCTCAAGTAGAAGTAAAAATATTCTGCTAGAAAAGTGCAAATTCTTACTCAAGTAAATGTACAACTGATCTCTGCTACTATCCCATTATTTTCTACAAAGTGAAATTTGCTATTTAAAGGTGCATTGTGTAACTTTTCTTGGGCTTGAGTACGACATTAAACTTATCTGTCTGCACGGATGCAAACAGGCCAAGGTACAGATCATATCAGTGGAGAGACACGAGCTCATTTACACAAGAATTTCTGAACATTAAAATCACTTCAAGGCTGAATAGAGTTTTAATGCCATACTGTGGAACATATCAAACAACGCAACAGCAGTACCCTCCACCAGAAAAGTTACACAATGCACCTTTAAGCGGCTTATGTTAACTAAGTTAATATTTTTAAAAGATAACATACTGTGACTCGGGACTCCAAGAAGCAACAGAGGTTTAAGTGTGAAGAAAACACAGAACAAAATGGGACGATCTCTGGACATGGCTGAATCTACTTCTTCTTTCCTCGTGTGACCCTGTGAGAGACAAGTGCAGGACAGTGACAAATGACCGTCCTATTATTTAACAAGAGAAGTACAACCCAGTGTGTTAATATGTGTACAAAACCCCATCCTGTAGTTTAATAGCAGACTCACATACCTTAAACAGCCTATATTACTGTATTATTTTCTGATCTGTGTTATAATATGGCAAAGTTATAATATTGTTTCCTCATCAAAAACATACCCAGAGTTGTGTTTTGTCAGTGTAAATATTAGAATTACTTTCACACTAACCTTCTACATAATCTAAAATGACACAAATATTTTTTGTTCAGTAAAAATGATAAATTCCAGGGCTGAAATTATCCAAATGATTTTAGTGTGTATGAAGTTTAAAAACACAGTGCAGCACTTCCTGTTTTACAAGATACAGACACATATCTCATCCAGTATCCAGTGTGAGGTATGTGCAAGAACAAAACCGCACTGTAGTTTAAAAGCACATTCACATCACTTTAAAGGCCTTATACTAGTATTAAAGTATTTTCTGATCTGTGTTATAATATGGCAAAGTTATCATATTGTTTCCTCATCAAAAACATACCCAGAGTTGTGTTTTGTCAGTGTAAATGTTAGAATTACTTTCATACTAACCTTTCTACATAATCTAAAATGACACAAAAGAGAATATCACAAATTCAAAACAAAAATGAGTTGAGATGAAGGGAGCATTCTGACCAGACGATGGCGCTGTGTGACAGTAAACAGTACAAAAGTGTGATCAACTTTTAAATAGACTTTATTAAACAAGAAAACAAGTGCAAACTGGGTACATTTACAACTGTCTGGTCAAAAACACCTACATCTAGTTTTCCAGTAGTTTTCAAGTGAACAGTTACCTTTTACTTTTTGCTTAGTAATGATTGGTAAATCCAGGGCTGAAATTATCCAAATGATTCTAGTGTGTATGAAGTTTACAAAATGCAGTGGAGCACTTCCTGTATTACCAGATACAGACACATATCTCATCCAGTATCCAGTGTGAGGCATGTGCAAGAACAAAACCACATCCTGTAGTTTAAAAGCACATTCACATCACTTTAAAGGCATTATACTAGTATTAAAGTATTTTCTGATCTGTGTTATAATAAGGCAAAATTGTTTCCTCATCAAAAACATACCCAGAGTTGTGTTTTGTCAGTGTAAATGTAAGAATTGCTTTCATACATAATCTAAAACGACCACAAATTCAAAGCAAAAAATGAGTTGTGATGAAGGGAGCAATCTGACCAGAAGATGGCGCTGTGTGACAATAACAGTACAAAAGCATGATAAACTTTATAAATACTTTATTGTACAAGGAAGCAAGTGCAAACTATGTTGAATGAAAAAATATAAAAATTATATAAGCTGATCATCAGAAGTCTTACATTCACATGTTATAATTTTTACATGAGCTGATTTTATTTCTTTTAGAGACACTTCAGAGTTTTATTTTTTAAAGAATATTGCATAGAAAAGTAAATTAGCATTTTTGTTCATTATAATTAACACTACAAAATGTTATTTGTCATTTGTCAAATGCTTGTCTCTATGGAGATGCTATTGCTTTGTCTGACATGTTTCACAGTAATGGCATTAAACCTTTCTTCATGGACACCAAACCAGACCAAGTTACAGGTCAGATCTGTGAAGAGGCGACCTCTCACAGCCAGAATGTGTTTGTTTGGTTGTTTTTTAGGTATTTTTGAGCTATGAAACCATCTGTAATTTAATAAATGTAAGGTAGAACTGTTTAATATCATAATGTGGAACAATCCAGACAAAGCAATGACATATCCATAGAAACAAGTAGGTGACTGGCCCCCAACCAAAAAGTTACATAGTGCACCTTTAATATCTGAAATGCTCAATGCAATAAAATGTCTGTCAGTAAAGCTTCAAGCATATAAGTTTGGTCAGCAAAAAACAAAAAACAATTGGATCTAGATGGATATTTTAGATGTTTAGTTCTGATTTAGTTCTAGTTTAGTTTCGATGTAATCGCAGTTCAGTCCTGATTTGTTCTGGTTTAGTCCTGATATAGACCTGGTCAGTCCTGTTTTAGTTCCGGTATAGTCCTTGTTTAGTCATGGTTTAGTCCTGATTAAGTCTTGCAGTAAATAAGGGTGAAGTCCTGGTTTGGTTAGGCCGGACTCTGATCTCTGTGCCGGTTCTTGCATCGCTGTGTCTCTGCATCCTCTCCTCAGCTCTGGCAGCTGGATCTAAAAAACAGAAATAATCATATAACATCAAGAATATTCCAAATTAAACACATTTTAAGTTATTACATTATACATTACTTATAAATGACTCTGGTCAATTGGTATAAAAAATACTTCTATATCAGGCATTTTTATGGCATTTAATTTATTTATTGAATTAGGGGAGTTTTTGTTGTTTCACAAAGATCACAAAGTTTATTTGTATTGGAAAATTCATATTCTATACTAGAAAACATAACATGGACCTAACACAATAAGATTAAAAAGATGCATAAAAAAGTATTGGAACTTTGCAACTGTTTGGATTTTAGTTTTGTACAAATATGACACTAGCTCTGTTATAGTTACATTCTGGTTCAGTCCTGGTGTGGTCCTGGTCTGATCCTCGTCTAGTCCTGGTCTAGTCCTGGTCTAGTCCTGTGCAGTCCTGTGTAGTCCTGGTCTAGTCCTGGTCTAGTCCTGGTGCAGTCCTGGTGTAGTCCTGTCTAGTCCTGGTCTAGTCCTGGTCTAGTCCTGGTGCAGTCCTGGTGTAGTCCTGGTCTAGTCCTGGTCTAGTCCTGGTGCAGTCCTGGTGTAGTCCTGGTGTAGTTCTGGTCTAGTCCTGGTCTAGTCCTGGTCTAGTCCTGGTCTAGTCTTGGTCTAATCCCCGTCTAGTCTTGGTCTAGTCCTGGTCTAGTCTTGGTCTAGTCCTGGGCTAGTCATGGTCTGGTACTGGTCTGATAGTGGTCTACTCCTGGCTTGGTTTTGGTGTAATCCTGGCCTAGTCCTGGTTTGATCCTGCTCTAGTCCTGGTCTAGTCCTGGTCTAATCCTGGTCTAGTCCTGGTCTGATCCTGCTCTAGTCCTGGTCTAGTCACGGTCTGGTACTGGTCTGATAGGGGTCTAGTCCTGGCTTGGTTTTGGTGTGGTACTGATCTCTACTCCTGGTCTAGCCCTGGTCTAGTCCTGGTCTAATCCTGTCTGTCTGTCTAGTCCTGGTCTATCCTGGTCTAGTCCTGGTCTAGTCCTGGTGCAGTCCTGGTGTAGTCCTGGTGTAGTTCTGGTCTAGTCCTGGTCTAGTCCTGGTCTAGTCTGGTCTAGTTGGTCTAGTCTAGTCTTGGTCTAGTCTAGTCTGGTCTAGTCTAGTCTGGTCTGGTACTGGTCTAGTCCTGGTCTAGTCTGTCTAGTCTAGTCTGGTCTAGCCCTGGTCTAGTCCTGGTCTAGTCCTGGTCTAGGTCTGGTCCTGTCTAGTCTTGGTCTAGTCCTGGGCTAGTCATGGTCTGGTACTGGTCTGATAGTGGTCTACTCCTGGCTTGGTTTTGGTGTAATCCTGGCCTAGTCCTGGTTTGATCCTGCTCTAGTCCTGTCTAGTCCTGGTCTAATCCTGGTCTAGTCCTGGTCTGATCCTGCTCTAGTCCTGGTCTAGTCACGGTCTGGTACTGGTCTGATAGGGGTCCAGTCCTGGCTTGGTTTTGGTGTGGTACTGATCTCTACTCCTGGTCTAGTCCTGGTCTAGTCCTGGTCTAGTCCTGGTCTACTCTTGGTCTAGTCCTGGTCTAGTGTTGGTCTAGTCCTGGGCTAGTCATGGTCTGGTACTGGTCTGATAGTGATCTACTCCTGGCTTGGTTTTGGTGTGGTACTGATCTCTAATCCTGGCCTAGTCCTGGTTTGATCCTGCTCTAGTCCTGGCCTAGTCCTGGTCTAGTCACGGTCTGGTACTGGTCTGATAGGGGTCTAGTCCTGGCTTGGTTTTGGTGTGGTACTGATCTCTACTCCTGGTCTAGCCCTGGTCTAGCCCTGGTCTAGTCTGGTCTAGTCCTGGTCTAGTCCTGGTCTGATCCTGCTCTAGTCCTGGTCTAATCCTGGTCTAGTCCTGGTCTAGTCCTGGTCTAGTCCTGGTCTGGTCCTGCTCTAGTCCTGGTCTTGTCCTGGTCTAGTCCTGCTCTAGTCCTGGTGTGGTCCTGGTCTTGTCCTGGTGCGGTCCTGGTCTAGTCCTGGTCTAGTCCTGGTCTGTCCTGTCTAGTCCTGGTCTAGTCCTGGTCTTACCTTTGGTCTGGCTGATGGTGATGGTGGAGTAGCAGACAGTGGTATACAAAGAGCTCTCATCAAAATCTGAAAAATCAAGAATTGAATTTGTAAATATTAAAATACAAGTCCATGTTTGTAGTATTTCAGATGTAAAGTGCAGATGTTCCTTTTTTCTCAGATGGAGCAGAAGATCACAGGATCAAACCTCACTCGGCTTTGATGACATGTTTTATTTTTTATTTTACATTTCACATGTTAAGAGTGAGATCATAAAAGTGGGTGTTAAGAGGACATTCAAGTTAGTTTCAGGGTGCTATATGAGTGACGTGAATAGTGGTATATGCCTACATGTTCCTATAGCACTTCATGCACGTTGCAGGAAATAAAACCACAGTGTCAAAGTCTCTAGCACGAGAGGAAATAAGTGAACGGTCAGTGAGATGTGAAACAATCAGAAAAAAACCCACAATTTCAAACTGGTTTTACACAGAGTAGCACAGACACACACAGCAGTGACATTTATAAACCACAGCCTGTTCTGCTGTCACCTGGGCTCAGCCTGTGTGGTCACTGACTAACAATAGTAAGTGATATGATGCTTATGTTTTGCTCTTTATGAGTATTTTATCTTGTGAGGAAAATATTTTATGTCTTGTATTTATGTAAATTAATGTTCTTTTTTATTGTTCATATTTTTGCTGAAAAAGACTCAAGTAGCAATTCTCAACCTCAGAGCTCCAAAACCAGACTTTGAAAAACTCACCGTCCAAGGAACACATCTATGCATTTCCCATAAAGCAACACCTGAAATTGAAGTTTCCAAAGTCAGTGATGATTTTGAGCTGCCATGTTATCTGCTGGTTTTGGTCCACTGTGTTTTCTGAAGTCCACAGTCAACGCAACCATCTACCAGGACATTTTAAAGCATTACAAGCTTCTTTATTCTTACAAGCTTTATGGAGATGCTAATTTCATTTTCCTGTAGGACTTGGCACCTGCCCACACAGCCAAAGGTGACCACTGACCATGGTGTTACTGTGTTTGATTAGCCTGAAAACTCACCTGACCTGAATCTCATGGAGAATTTCTGGGATATTGTCAAGAGAAAGATGAGAGACACACAAAAAAAACAACAATGCAGATGAGCTGAAGGCCACTATCAAAGCAACCTGAGCTTCCATTACACCTGAGCAGTGCCACAGGGAGACCTCCTCCATGCCACAGAGCACTGATACAGTAATTCATGCCAAAATCCCAACTGAATATTGAGTGTACAGAAATGAACTTACTTTCCTTTTCTTTTCTTTTTTTTAAATTTATCTTTAATTTAATTTTCTGAGACACCAAATTTTGTCTGTAAGTCATAATCATCAAAATGTCAAGATATAGAGGCTTGAAAGCTGCACTCTATGCATCACAAGTCTATATAATATGTGGGTTTAACTTTCTAAAGTGAGTGGCAAAAAAATATTGAACTTTTTCATAATATTCACATTTTTTGAGATGTACTAAGTAAGTAAGTAAGTAAGTCTTTATTTATATAGTGCTTTTCACAGACATTTTGTCACAAAGATGCTTTACAGAGCATTATTCAGCATTATTCCATTCACTCTATACCCGGTGATGGTAAGCTACTATTGAAGCCACAGCTGCCCTGGGGCAGAGTGAAGAGCGGCTGCCATGCCAATCAGTACCATCAGTCCCTCTGACCACCACTATCACTCACGCACACACCACTTCCATACTAGGCAATGTGGGTGAAGTGTCTTGCCTAAGGACACAACGACAGTTTTGTGACTGGCGCCCCACTGTGGCACCTGATTTTCCAAGTGGTCTCCCATCCAAGTACTAACCAGGCCAACCTTGCTCAGCTTCTGAGAACTGACAGGATCAGGCTTTGACAAGCCGGTATGGCCACTAGTACTAGTATATTTTAGCACAACTGAAATCAAAAATACATTTTATGTTGACTAAAACTATCCTGAATTTACAGCTGACAAATTGAGCATGGTATTTACATTTGAAGTAGTTAAAGTAATATTTGTGTTTCAAAAGGAGTTAAGTTTTATATCTTATGATCAGTAGAATTCATACCTGTGTGTCTGATCGTCCTCCTCTGCTGCTGGGGTAATATGTGGCTGTTTAATCCATTCTCCTCTGGACAGGTTTCCAAACACCAACAAAGAAATGATTGTGAATGATGAGACATTAAGAATGATTCAGACTTTGAAACTACATAAAAGAAAAAATGAGAGAGAAAATGAGTAATCCTTCATTGGTCCAGGAGTGGTTGAGTGTACAGAAGGTTTTAGAAGTGGTCTGGAGAAGCCATTTTCATCACATGATAAGAGAGAGAATCACAGAGACCATGAACTGAGATGAAAGAGCATTCCTCTTTTCACACACTGAAGACAAAAAAAACTAGAGACACTGACCTGTGTGTCTCTGGCACCGTCTCACCACCAGGACCAGCAGAACCAGGAGGATCAGGACTGAGCCGGTGATCAAACCCAGCACCAGAGACGAGGAGCCCAGAGGAGAGACAGGAGACTGGGCTGAAGGCTGCACTGATGGAGGGGGCTGCTCACATGGACTTTCTCATCTACAAACGTGCAAGGTCCAGTCAGATCAGAGGAACCAGAGACATCAACCAATCAGAGAAAAACAAAAACAGTTGAACCTGCTCTGACCCGGAGTCGACTGGGCAGTGACTTCTCTCCTCTCATCTCACACTGGTACAGGCCTTCATCAAACATTGCCACCTGCTGGAGGGTCATGTGACCTGCGGGCTGCTCCGACAGGAAGTGTTCATCTCTATAGAAACGGGCTGGGAGGGCGTGGTCAGTGTGATGTCAACAGGTCAGACTGATTGTTTGTCCCACAGACACAGGGAGCACAGGCACCTGCAGAATCACGCCCCTGTCTGAGAGAGAACATGAAACTCATTTCAGACTCTTTTATCTGGTCATTACACAAAGCTCATGACCATGGGGGAGAGTAGGAACGTAGCTCTAAACCAGGACTAAACCAGGACTAGACCAAGACTAGACCAGGACAAAGGGACCATATGTGAGAGTGCGAACATAGATCGACCAGTAAATTAAGAGCTTTACATTTGCAAACAGCAGAAATGAGATCCTTTGGTCCCCAAAACAAACGCCCTTTGACCCCTGACACTGCCTAGAAATTCTGTCCAGAACCGGTGACAAAGGGCAGCCCTGAGGGAGTCCAACACATGCACTGGGAACAGGTCTGACTTACTGCTGTCAATGAACACAGCTCCTGCTCCGGTCATACAGGGACCAGACCTGAGTAAAGGGACCCCTATACTCCAACAGCGCCCCCCAAAGGAACAACACTGAATAATATTTTGGTGATTCTTGAGACATTTTAGAGAGGACCTGTTTTGGCCCTCTCTATGCTGTAATTTGTAGAAAAATACATAAAAAATATCATAATTGTCAAGTTAAATCTGTATACTAGAGCTATTTATTTGAAAATATTGTTTGACCAATTTTAACAGAAATGTAAGTTAAAATTTTGAAGTAAATGCAATTTTTTTCTGTGCTCCTCCAGGGTTTAAAGTTCACCTGCTCAAAAACATTTAAAAACTCAATTTATGTGAATAAAATGATATTAGAGTTAAATTTTGAAAATATACCTATGATAAACTTTTGGAAATGTTTTTCTTCCAAACTCCCATCTTTTTGTCAACCTCATCAGATATTTTAAAAACCTGAGGCACTAATATTATTGTCTAAATCTATGAGAGTGCTGTTTGTGACCATTACTCCACTATATATATTTAAGACAAGGGATTTTTGTCATCACAGCTGGAAAATGTCACCTCAGAGCATTCTGAGAGAGTTATTTAAACAGTACTGGAGTGAGTGAGGACATTAAGAGAGTGAAATAAATTAGCTGCAGTGTACCATGTTTTTAAAAGGAAACTTTTTTGTTGGCTCAGATGTGAATTCTGACATTGACAAATGAACCAGTAGTCTCTAAATGAAAATACTTTTTTTTGAGAGCTTAGAAATGGGTTAGTTTACTGTTTCATGGTTTAAGTGGCATATAACATACTTCAATACAGTGTGTGACAGAGTTGACAAATCCACAAAGTTAGTAAAGAATGTTTTTCTTAACAAATTTCTGTCATTGAATAGATTGTTACATTTTTCACGTCTTTAAATAATATTATCACTTGAGACGAGGAGTGGTTCACAATAGAGATGTTTTCAACGGGGGTCAAGTCCAGTTCCAAAGGGAAATTGTCTCTACTAAATATTGTGAGTTCTAAGTGACGACTCACAATATTTATTATGAGCCTGCTATAGATCAATGATGTTGTGACACTAGCACTTTGAGAGGTCAAATGCAAAGTAAAATATGTCAAATCACTAATGTCATATCAGATTTTTTTTTTTTTGTCAACTCTGTCAGATCTATGTATTTGGAGTGTGTTTTTGTCATTTTTGAAAGAAATTTGACTGTTTCCATTTATTTTATGTGGCTTAAATCATAAAGGGTATCAGAATCTACATCCTGGTTTGTGTTTTGTATTTTATAACTTTTAAATAGAGACATGTTTTTGGAAATTGAGATATAACTCAAATGTAAAAGTATAAAAGTAAAATATAAAATTACTATGTAAGTCTTCAAATAAACCTTAACATGGACCTTTACTCTTATTATAACATAGATTTAAAGTTAAAAATTAAAAAAATATATTTTGTGTGTGTGTCTGACAGTTAAAATGTAATTCAGAATCTTTGCATTTTTGCACAGCTCAGACTTCACTCTACAAAGATATACACCTCTCATAAATGTTGATGAACTTTTGACAAAAGTCATTTTCAAAACCTGTTTAGTCCCGACTCAAGAATCACTGATTTAATCACCGACTGCTGACACATGAAAAACACAAACAACAAGGACACTACAGATACACTCACATTTATCACTGATACAGACTATGGGATCACACTCAGTTGAACCGAATCTTTCTCTCCTCATATAAGATGTTTCTGAGTCTGTCTGTTGGTAAAATATGTATTTTTAACGTTTTAATGTTTAGTTTTGCTGTGGCTTTCACTTATATTGAGAGAGTAATTTAGTGCTGGTCCCCTATTCATTCTTTATCAGTTACTTAATACCTTTTGGATTGGTCCATTTATGTCAGAAGGAACAGTTCTGATTTTACTTGGCCTATTGTACACTGCTGTGGACAAAGTTTTATTATGGCCAATGGTCAATTGGGGTAAAACTCAGTGTCTCTCACCTCGAACAGTGATGTTTACGGGTTCTGTAGAGCTGCTGTTCCTCTCACACCAGTACACACCAGAGTCCACGGGAAACAGGTCCATTGAACACGAAGAACCTTTCATATCTGCCCCCCATTCAGAACAGGGCTCGTTCTGTTTTGTGCTGGTGTTCCTCTTCAGAGCCCAGGGTCCAGTATCTCCACAGCTCAGAGACACTTTGTCCCATTTGAAGAACTGGGACTGGTCTGGACTCACCCTCAGAGAGACTGTGGATAGGAACATGAACATCCATTACATTGTCAGGCAAAGGTAGATGGAAAAGAAATGGGTGATGCACAAAAGGTAGGACAATGATGAGTGGGGCTCGATTTCCCCCCTTAAATTAAGATCCACTGTTACTGAGAAATAAAAATACCATCCAAAATTATAAACATCAAAAATTATCATATATATCAGCTTCCTTTTTTTTAATTTATAGGCTCTGTTTAAGAAGCACGGCTTTTGTATCCACATTTAAGTGCTGCAGTTTTGCCTCCACTTCATCCAAATTACATGTTGAAAACATGGGGATTATGGAGATAATTAATTAATTATAGTTTGTTCTAAATGCACATTCTTCTTTGTTCATTTAATCACAAGAATTTGTTTTTAATGCACAAGTGTACACTTTCCAGCTCCCCAACAGCAGCTATAACTGTTTCTCCACTGTGACTGGTTTACACCCTGAGGAAAGCCACACTGCACTGGAACAGAGTGTATTTTATGTCAGTAGTAATAAAAGATTTACATTTTTTCTTAAATAACAGAGCGCCTTGGATTTTTTATTTTATTTTTATTAAATTTTTTTCTGGGAAAATATAACACAAAATATATATATATATATATATATATATATATATATATATATATATATATATATATATATATAATATATATATATATATATATATACACACACCATGATATATATACACCAAAAAGACAGAGTTCTAATCTTATGAATAGGAGTTAGAGGAGATACTCACAGTCCATGGCAGAGGTGCTGTTCATGTGAGGAGACCTACAGTCAGAGTTCAGACTTTTCTCTACAGGAAGTGACTCTCACTCTAAAGTTTTTAACACTTCAGCTGTTCAGTTTGGGACAATCAATTAAATAAAACCTTTATTTCCCCAAAAGCCTTTTCCTTGAATGTAACACAAGATCATAAGGAAAAACATTTCCATGAGGAGTTTAGTGCTACAGTTTGTTGAGCAGCTGAATCCTACACAGGACACAGACTGTGATGTGTCTGTGTCTTTGTTTGAGACATCACAACCTTCCCCCAGAGTAAGAGACTGTCTTTAGACCTTAGAGGACAAACGTGTTTAATGTTATTTTCTGGGCAAGATTCACTTGTATTGGGCTCTGTACACAACTGCAGCAGGTGCGCTCCACTCAGAGGGAGGCTCTGTGCTGTATTTCACTGTTATGTAACATCTGTGGGGTTTTAAAAAGGTCTCACTGTTAAAGGTAACTTTTATTAAAATGTTAAATCAAATATAACAACAAAATTATTTTATTTATTATTTTTATTTGTTGTAAAGATAACCTATTCATCTGTGTCATTGATTTTCCATTTTAAAAAATTCTGATTGGAAATTATTATCATTATTTGAATGACTTGATCTTGATTTTTTTTAAAGGGTCAGAAAAATGTGATCCAGCATTCTAGATGAATTACAGTGTTTTAAAATTGAATGCAGCTTCAACTTTACTTCACAAACTGATGTAAAACTATGATAAATATTTACCACAGGTACTATCTCACTAAACAAAGTAATAATTCATCCTGTGACTTTATATGAGGGCTCAAATAACTACGAACTTAGAAATTAGAAATTAGACAAACCAAAAGACGATTTCAAAATGAGTTTTATTTATCTGGTTACAGTAGGTGGAATGCAACTACACACTTGCAAAAGGCTTAGAAGAATAAAAATAATAAAGGACATGTGTCCACACAGAACAAAAATATGATAATAATAAGACCATAAGAATGTGTTATAAATAGGGTGGAAATATTAATCAAGGAGTAAACATGGACTGTACCTGGTGGGACTAAAGGGACTAAAGCAGGACTCATCTTAATATGAGAGACTCTCAGGACAGGTCCCAGTTCATTTGATTAGTATTTTAATTATTTTTCAAAGGAACCAGGTCTAAAGCAGTACACCAGTTCAGATGCTGAACTGAGCTGAACTCTCTGTAGTTTTTGTTTTAACTTAAATGGTTTTGGACTAATGGATTTGACTTCTGTGTTATAGCAATAACTCACTAAAAAATTACCAAATGACTCAATTTTGTCTAGTTCTTTATATTTGGAAATGATGATTGTTTTTGAATCAGAATAACTTTGTCAGTTCCAATACTCAAGGTACAACAGTGTTCCCTGGTTAAACTGATTGAAAAACACACTCTTATAGCACAAGTCCTGGTTTAGTCCTGGTTCATCCTGCTGTTGGTCTTGGAGTGATGTTTTAGAAGGCAGACAAGTGTTGTCATAGTCTGGTGGGAGGGGGGCACCAGGAATTGTAGTAAATAAGATGAAGGTCTGTCCTGAAGTTTTGACTCAATGGTTGGACCTGTTCTGTTTTACGCTGTGGGAGTTTTGAAGGCTTTGAAGATGCTCCAGAATATAATGCAGACAAAAGCAGAGCTATGAGATACTTCCTTGGAGTACACAGGTTTACCACTAGGGCAACCAGAGAGGGGGACATGGGCTGGGAGCCCTGTGTGGTTAAACATAGGGCAGAAGTTTTAAACACAACAAAATCCAGGCCTTTATCAGGATGGCCAAAGCCAACATCCATCCATCCATTTTCTTCCGCTTATCCAGGGCCGGGTCACGGGGGCAGCAGTCTAAGCAGGGACTCCCAGACTTCCTTCACCCCAGACACGTCCTCCAGCTACCAAATCCAACATGTTTCGACCAAACAGGTCTTCATCAGGGCTTAGATTAAATGGCAGAAGTTCTCAGACTGTGAAAGACTCAGTGTTTAAGTGGAACAGAGTTCACAGATTACCCTGGTCCAAAGAGGTCCTGGAAATCTTGCTGCAGCAAACATATGGCCCCTGTTTTTGAATAATCTGTAAGAACCTGTGTACAGTTTAAGGATACTTTCTTAACTGAACCCTTTGTCAAAAATAATTTAAAAATAAGACAGAGGTCCCTATGTAGCTGTCCCAGAGATGGACAGGTTCTGTTCTCTGTGTGATTTAAATGTAGTGGAGAATGACTTTCATTTAATGTTTTATTATCCACTACATCATGATTTAAAAAATAATATGTATGAAATGATTCAACAGAAGAAACCGCCGATTTATTCTGGCTGTCTGAAGGCCAAATGATGTGTTTGTTATTTGAAAATGAAATGAAATTTGTGTAGCAGCTTTTGTGGACAAGGCCTGAACATTGAGACAAAGAACTCTGTACACGGATAGGGGGTGATTTACTTATGACTGTTGGATTTTGTGTTCTGAATTTTTAATGGACGTCTTCCTTTATGTATATTGATAATAGTGCCATAAAAGCCCATATGGGCTGGGCACATGAGTGCATGACACTTAAATAAAATTAATTCATATGTAACTCTGAGTTTCCAAGTCAGAATTCTAAAATGGAAGGGTGTCCCAGATTGAATTTACAACTCAGAAAGTCCTAGGACAATGGGATAGTAGCATTAGTCCTGGTTTACTTGAGACTTGGTTTAGTCCTGGTTTATTTGAGACTTCAGGTCTCAAGGTTTAATCCAGGTTAGTCCGGACTCTGATTTGTGCGTAGGGACTTGGATCTTTTTGTCCTTGCGTTCTTTCTTTGGTCCTCGTAGCTGGATCTGAACAAAAACGTAAAATAAGAAACACCATAAAACCTTCACTTTCAGTTATGTTAATGCACAGGAAAATGCACATGTGAAAAACCTTTTTTATAAATCTTTTTGTATAACATATGGTGATATATATATATATATATATATATATATATATATATATATATATATATATATATATATATATATATATATATATATATATATATATATATATATATATATATATATTCTTCTTCTTCTTTTTGAGGTCATGATGTTTTTCAGTGTGATTTTTGTCTATGTTCTTATGGCATTGTACTGCTTTTACATTGGCCTTGAGCATTGCTTTAATTTTCTCAAGACGATGTTTGATTTTGTTGCCACATTGTCACATTGTACTTGTTTCTGATGGCAAAAGAAGAAATTCTATTTGTCAACTGGGCAAAAAGTTTATTTTGGTCAAATATGTTTCACAGCTCATCCAAGCTGCTTGTTCAGTCCTGAGGAAGCAGTTTTGTCCAGTTGACAAATTGAATTTCTTCTTTTGCCATGGATTCTACCTGGACAACGAGGGATTGTTGTTTTTGATCTCATGTATCTCATGTCCTCATTGTATTCTGGACTTGCACTGTGCAGAAGATGTGTCTTCTGTCAGACTGCTCCAGCTAATCACAGCCCTGCTCCTCAGACCACTGCCCCCTGGTGGTGTAAAAGTACACACACCATCTGCTCTTGGATGAAGAAGGTCATTCACTGTTAGTAGTTTTCTGGTCTTACTTAGTCCATATTGATGTCTGACTTGGTCCATGAGAGTATAACAAAACTACTGACAACAACTGATACTGGTAAGATGCTAATTGCATAGGGCACCTTTAATGTAACTATAAATATTGTAAAAAATAGTGTGTATCCCCTGTCATTTGGTGTTCAGTAAAGGAAAAGAAATGTCACTGTCAAAATACAACATATTCAACTGAAAAGGCCTCATTTGATAAATCCTCTCATTCATTGCACAGTTTGGGTCCTTCACTTAATTCATTGGTTTAGAGTTGGTGCTCCTTTCAACCTGCAGAGTCTAACACAGGCCTACAGTCTACAACATGTACAAGATAAATGTATACACTCGTGTACATTTCAGCATTAACATTTCATCTTAAGCAGCAGCATGCAAAACATGTAAGTCAGTAATTCAGTTATCAATTATGTGTATACAAGTTACCTTTACTGCCAGCAGAGGGCGCACGGACAGAAGTGAAGCAGTTTAAAGGACCCAGTTACGCTATTTTTCTGATTTATATTGGAGTTGTGTTTTTGTTTCATTCACACATGTTTAACACACAAACTTTGCATATTTAGGCTGAGTTCTTCTCTCAAACAGAAATGCACATGTGGTAAAACAGGAAGTGGTCCACTGTGTGTTTAGTCTGGATTTATTACTGGTTTAGTCCTAGCTTGGCTTAGTGCTGGTTCAGTCCTGGTTCAGTCCTAGTATAGTACTGGTTTAGTCCTGGTTAAATTTGGGTTTAGTCTTGGTTTAGTCCTGCAGTCTGTGTTTAGTTCTGATTTAGTCCAGGTCTAGTCCAGGTCTTACCTCTGGTCTGGTTGATGGTGATGGGAGAGTAGCAGACATCTTCAGTTTTCACAGAGGAGTAAACTGGACTCTCCTCAGTCTCTGAAAGAGGAAAAAAAAAGGGGGAAAAAAGTTTTCTATTGAAATAAATGTCTGTATGGAGAGTCTAAACCAGCAAACAGTTTTCAATATTATGTCAAAATAAATATCACTAAAACTTCATTCCACAGTACTGACACCTAAATAATATACTTGATATACTTGATTATCTTTCTAATGTAGCAAAAAGTGACAAAATTGCTCACCTCTTTTTGTGAGTCTGCCTGGGCCTTTACCTGAAACACAAGAGCAATCCTGGTTCAGTTCTGTCCTAGTCCTTCAGTCCCGGTTCAGTCCTGGTTCAGTCCTGGTTTAGTCCCGGTTTAGTCCTGGTTCAGTAAAATTTTGAAGCCATTTTATGTAACAATTCACTATATTAGTAATTCTATTAATAATTATGTTTTATTTTATTTTTCATTGAAAATTTTGAATGTATGAATATAAATTCTGTGTAGATTAAGGTTAGATTAGATTAGAGTCAGTCCACAATAGTCCTCTTTTAGTCCTGGTCTAGTGCTGGTTTAGTCCAAATTTCGTCCTGGTCTTACCTCTGGTCTTTTTGATGGTGATGGAAGAGTAGCAGACGTCTGCAGTTTTCACAGAGGAATAAACCGGATTCTTCTCTTTCTCTGTAAATGTAGAATTTAAGATGTTTTCACATTTTCTAAAGTACTTGTTATTCAATATCAACTTAATTAATGAGTTTCATCTTATATTTTAAGGCCATTGACCATTCAGTAAATGGAATATTATGTTTTGAATTGTTGAAGTGGAACTAAACATTAAATCTACTTTCCCCCCAAATACACTGGTCCTGGAATAATAACATATGATAATCCTTAGTCTAGTCGTCACTACAGAGTCAGTTTTTGCTGCTCCTCCCTCTCCTCCTCTCTCTCCTCTCCTCCTCTGCTTTTGCACTTCTCAGCTCCTCTGCTCCTCTCATCTCTGCTCCTCTCCTTTCTCCTCAGCTCCTCTCCTCTCTCCTCAGCTCCTCTGCTCCTCTCTCCACTGACCCTCTCTCTGCAACTCTCTTCTCTTTTGCTCTCTCTTCTTCTGCTCTTATCTTCTGTCATCTGCTCCTCTGTCCTCTGCTCCACTCATTTCTGTTCCTCTCCCCTCTGCTTCTCTCACCTCATCTGTTTTGCTTTTTGACGCTCTGCTTCTCTGCCCACTGCTCCTCTCTCCCCTGCTCCTCTCCTCCTCCTCTTCTTTTTCTTCTGTCCTCCTCTGCTCCTCTTCTCCTCTCTCATCTTCTTCTCTCTCCACGCTGCGTCCCCTCTGTGGGTGGGACTTCCTCACCCCCCTTTCCTTGACCTAGGTGTTTAGTGAAGATTAACTGCACAGCCCTATTCACCTTATTCGGCCCCGCCCACTTTTGTCTCTAAATGCTCCTAAACCGCTCTTTCTGGTGGTCGCCCTTCTGGTTAAATCATGTCAGTGAAGAATTTGGGAAAAGTTTTTTTTGCTAAAATACCAACAAGAACATGACCAACAAGTCACACTGCACTGATTCTTTAATAGGGGCTTTAAAACGGCTTTATTGTATGTATTGAACTTATTTGCTGTCAGGATCAGCAGGCCCATGCAAAATACCTCTGGAATAAGGTGAATAGCCTCTTAACTGTTAGATGCAACCGGACAGAAACTTGTTATGAAAAACCACATCGTTTTATCTTGGCATGCACTAAACATACACAGGAAATGGCTCAGTGGTCAGGGTAGGAGACAAAATAGAAAAAATAAACCACAATGTTAGAAATACATATTTTAAAGAGTTGCGCAGATGCAGCACAGTGACCACAATTTGTTCCACTCTTTGAGCTTTTTTCCACCCACCACCCAACAGGCAAAACTCAAGTGTATGTTTGTTATGTTTTTTTTTTTTTTTTTAGTATTATGGCTAAAATTATTTGGGTTTAAAACATGTACATTGTAATCTCTGTCAGTAAAAGAATGTGGTTTGGAGTTCAGACTTTTGGACGAAGAAATAAACAAATAAAATATAATAAGAAAGGTTTATAAATGTGTTAAGTTTATTTTAAAACCTCTTTCTTGTCTGTGCGCAACTTTTATGGTTGAGATTACACCACTGCATGTTATCACTTTGCCTGGGTTAGGGTTGCTGGGAATGTTCCACAGTATGGCATTAAACTTATCAATCATTTATTTTTGAATTACACATTTTTATTGCTAAAAAAATGCATTCTTACTTTATGGCTTGCCTCGCTACTGAGGAGACCTCGCTCGGTTCAAAGACTCAGTTCAATAAAACAGTTCAACTCAGACCTTTGACCAGAGAGGACAGAGAAACAAGGAGACACAGAGCAGCTCTTTATCCTCTCTGCTGGACAAAGAACATTCCAGATAGACAACGCAACAAGGAGTCAAAACTTCCAGTTCTCTCTTTCAAATTTGTGCACATCTTTTGATGTGTTTTTATTCAAATTACTATAGCTAATCTGACTGGAGGCGAAGCTTTCATACTTTTCCAAATTTAAATATTTCCATATTGGTAGTCAATGGCCTTTTGGTTTAATTGGCCTTCATTTGGGACCACTGCTGTTCAGACCTCAGGGACACTGGGAAGGTATCTTTTGTTCCTCTTTAAACAGAGGATACAGCGTTCCTTCAGCCTGACGCTGCCTGAGCCTGGAGTCATTGTTTAGATCACGTGGCCTCCATTTGTCTCAGCTCGCTTGATTCTCCAGACCTGACACCTTGAGGACTTCAGACCTCAGACATTTCCACTGTCCTCTCTCTCTTGACAATTGATTAAGTTTAGACTCAATACATGACTCCTAAAGCTGTACTCAATCTCCAATCTTTAGACCCCAGACTAGAGAAGCCTACAGTCATTCACATATTTCATATGTAAATGCTGTCTCCTTGACTTGATCTATAAATATTCATAAACCACAGTTTGCTTTGGTGAATACTGATGTTATTTCCAAATATGAGTCACTGATATCGACAAGAATTAACAAACCTTCAGAACAACTGTTTAATTAATTATTGATTAATTAATTGAATAACTTAGATCATTGATTATACTTGATTGGTAATATTTCTCAATATTTGTTGAGTGGCGCTCCAAAACTGTACTTCTAGTCAAAGCCAAACACTCACAAAGGCCATGTGAGTGCTGCTTTAACTTAGAACTCTTAAGTTACAAAATTTAATATCAATTACCCCCTGTTGGCATTACCTGCTTGTCTCCATGGAGATAGAAAAGTTGAATGGCAGACTGTGGAACATTCAGTCAAAGCAATAATATTCATGATGGAGACAAGCAGTTGGGGGAACCCTCTACCAGAAAAGCTGCACAATGCACCTTTAAGGAGCCTGTACATGATGTTTTTTCCCCCTATGCATTTGAGCTAATTTTGTTCTGCTCCAATACAAATATTGTATAGGCAGCCTGAGATCAAAATAAGTCTACTGTGTACTAATTATAAAACGTTTTACTGTTCAATAATCAGGAAGTGCACTGTTAGCATGCTAGTTGTTGTAGCATTACAGAAATGATAAACTACAATGTGGCCTCTGAAAGTTATGAAAAGTGTTTATAAATTCTTTACAAATCTTAAAAAATTAAATAGTTTAGGTTTTCATGTTTTTAAGAGTAAAAATCAGGGCTTTTTTCCATAAAAAATGTAAATCAGTCAATATGAGGAATAAATTGTGATATTTTTTCTTGTCATATTGACCATACTTGGTCCCTAAGCAGCAACAAGCGTTTAACAAAATGAGAATGAACAACTAAATGCATTCTTATTTTATTTTGATAAATATACAAAGATAAACAGTATTAGTCTGACCTGTGCGTCTGACTGGCTGCCTCTGCTGCTGATGTAATATGTGGCTGTATGTGACATCATCAGTTCCATCCTCCTCTGGACAGGCATCGACTTCAGGGCGAAAACATGTAAAAACAAAATGTCAACCAAGGGCAGCTATGATGAATTAATCATGTGACCATTACACATTATATGGACCCCAACTAGCAAAGCAATATGGGCCAACAGGTTTAAAGGTGGGTTGCATACTTGGGCCCTGACTAGGTTTGTCTGCGGTTTCCATGGTGACGCTCCTCAGTACTAAATGGATATAATTTGATTAGCTTTAGCCTTTTTACATACATTTAAAACACACAGTATAACTTAAATAATTTATATTTGTATGGAGCTAGCACATTTTGTTTTGAGTTGTTGCTTTTATTCAGTTGTCTTTGGCAGATTTATTGGTGACACTGACCTGTGTGTCTCTGGCACCGTCTCACCACCAGGACCAGCAGAACCAGAAGGATCAGGACTGAGCCGACGATCAAACCCAGCACCAGAGACCAGGAGCCCAGAGGAGAGACAGGAGACTGGGCTGAAGGCTGCACTGATGGAGGGGGGCTGCTCACATGGACTTTCTCATCTACAATCGTGCAATGTCCAATCAGATCAGAGGAACCAGAGACATCAACCAATCAGAGAAAAACAAAGAGTTGAACCTGCTCTGACCCGGAGTCGACTGGGCAGTGACTTCTCTCCTCTCATCTCACACTGGTACAGGCCTTCATCAAACATTGCCACCTGCTGGAGGGTCATGTGACCTGCGGGCTGCTCCGACAGGAAGTGTTCGTCTCTATAGAAACGGGCTGGGAGGGCGGGGTCAGTCTGATGTCGACAGGTCAGATTGACAGTTTGTCCCACAGACACAGGGAGCACAGGCACCTGCAGAATCACGCCCCTGTCTGAGAGAGAACATGAAACTCAATTCAGACGCTTGTATCTGAGATCAAGTCTTCTTGGTCATTACACAAAGCTCATGACCATAGGAGAGAGTAGGAAATTAGATCTAAACCAGGACTAGATTAGGACTAGACCAGGACTAAACCAGGACTGACCTACTGCCACCAATGAATACAGCTCCTACTCCAATCATACAGGGGCCGTACCAGAGCAAAGGGCCCCATACTCCCACAGCGCCCCCCACAATGCTGCTTAATATTTCAGTCATTCTTGAGAGTCGGGACAAAATAGTCAATCACTTAAGGGATCTATGTATATTTTAGGTATTTATTTGAAATGATTTTTGTGTCCTCCTACAGGGTTACATTACATTTAACATGTAATCAAAAGTAGTACTGTATACAGTACTGGAGTAAGTGAGGACATTAAGACAGCTTACAAATGGAATAAAAAAACAAACAGTGCAGTGTACCATATATGCTTTTAGAGAAGAATTTTTTCGTTGACTCTGTCAGTCAACAACGGCAATTTACATCTTCACAAAAATGTTTTATTGAATCGATTATTATTTTTATTTTTATGTATTTATATTATTTATACTATTTTTCATGTCTTTAAATAGTATTGTCCATTATCACTTTCATGAGCCTGCTATAGACCAACGACGTTGTGACACTAGCACTTTGAAAGATCAAATGTAAAGAAAATTTGTAAAACCACTGATGTCAGAATAAAAACTCCTGGAGGGGCACAGGAAAAGGGGACAAAGGAGATGGAAACACTGGAGGAGCACTGAAGAGGAGGATGAGGTGAAGGGGGACAGGGGGCCGAGGGAGGAGGAGAGTGGACTTTTCTCTCCTACAGTTTATTTAATGGTTAGAAGATAAATAATCAGTCAGTGTTGTGAAGTATGGTCATTTGATCAGTTTTCAGCAGCGTTTACACATTTCTGTCAAACCATTTCAGATCCATGATGGGTGTTTTTGTAATTTTTAAAAGATTTTTTTCAAATTTTCAACTGTTTGTGGTTTTTGTGGTTTAAGATTTAAAAAGCATTAACATCTACAGCCTGATGTATGTAAATTAAAATATTTAAATAGTAGGGCTGGGCAAAAATAAAAAACATTAATCACGATTAATCGCAGTTCGAGTACGATTAATCACAATTAATCACGATTAATCGCATGTTATACGCAAAACCAATTAATGAATTAAAAAGTAGTGTATAGCGCACTTTTATTGGAAATGTAAATGAAAGAGCAACACATTTGTTGGAGCAGAACAAAATTTACTCAAATGCATGGGGGGAAAAACATCATGTACAGGCTCCTTAAAGGTGCATTGTGCAGCTTTTCTGGTAGAGGGTTCCCCCAACTGCTTGTCTCCATCATGAATATTATTGCTTTGACTGAATGTTCCACAGTCTGCCATTCAACTTTTCTATCTCCATGGAGACAAGCAGGTAATGCCAACAGGGGGTAATTGATATTAAAGTTTGTAACTTAAGAGTTCTAAGTTAAAGCAGCACTCACATGGCCTTTGTGAGTGTTTGGCTTTGACTAGAAGTACAGTTTTGGAGTGCCACTCAACAAATATTGAGAAATATTACCAATCAAGTATAATCAATGATCTAAGTTATTCAATTAATTAATCAATAATTAATTAAACAATTGTTCTGAAGGTTTGTTAATTCTTGTCAGACCCAATCAACCCAATTCTTGTCAGACCCAAAAATTTATTTTCTCACCTGACGAGAAAATAAATGAAAATAAATTTTTGGGTCTGATTGACCCGTCCCAAGAGAGTGGGAAGAAAAATGTTTCTTCAGGTCTATGTGACCCCGAGGAGAGCATGAGGGTTTTAAATAACATGTTTCTGTGCAGTTACAGGGAGAAGGTTGACAATATTCCAATGTAAATCTATTGAAACTAGGGTCAGAAGGAGCTGGAAGTGTTCGCATGGTCATGTCCTATTTGGAATGCAGCGACTAGCTTGTTAACAATGTACATTTATATATATATACAGTCTATGATGACAACACGGATTAAGGCAAAAGAGTCCCGTGCTGTCCGGCCTGTGGTCTTTTCTTTCACCTGAGGTTAAATACACTGAGAGGACATTACGTGCTGGTGACAGCCACTGTTGGGCAAGTTACTTTGAAACTGTAATGCGTTATTTATTACCTATTACTGTCATTTCAAAGTAATTCGTTACATTACAATATTACTGCATTTAAAATGTAAGGCATTACATTACTATTGCATTACTTTAAGTTACTCTCACCAAAATAACTTTTGCGCTGTATATGGACTGAACCAGGACTAAACCAGGTCTAAACCAGGACTAAACCAGAGCTGAACCAGGACTAAACCAGAAGTGAACTAGACTAAACTAGAACTGAACTAGGACTAAACTAGAACTGAACTAGGACTAAAACAGGACTCACTGTAGGGACGGGCTCGAAGGTGACCGCAGGAGAAAGGAGCGGCTCTGCTCCGCACCTCACGGAGGTAAGAGCGGCTGTCACCTGATCGCTCTTTATGGATCCTGCTGCTCGGGCTCGCGGCCCTGATTTCAGCAACTATTTGCAGGTACCCGAGCCGGTGCAAGAGTCTGTTACAGCGCGTAACTTCTACCTTCCTTCAGCGTGTTCAGAAGTCCAACTTTTTGTGTGATGGTTTTCAGAATCACACTGCTAGAGACTGAACATGTATTTAAATTTGGCAGCTGAACACATTCTGTACTGTACTGTACAGGAGACAGGAGTCCCTTGGCCAGTCAGGACGCAGCGGGAGGAACGCAATACGCATTCATACAATGTAAAAAAAAACAAAAAAAACAGGGCATGCAAAATTGCACACAAAAAAAAATAATAATAAAAAAATCTGCGAGACCGCGAAAAGTGAACTGCGATAGAGGGAGGGACGAGTGTAAACCAGGTCTAAACCAGAACTGACCCAGGTCTAAACCAGGTCTAAACAGCGTGGAGTTCTTTGTCAGTCCTTTCGCCCGCGGTTACCTGAAGGTCTACGAGGGCGCATCTCCGGCGTTTCACCGCTGCTGATATCGAGGTGATTTTAGCGAATTTGTATGAAGAAAAACCCACCACTTCAATCCAGGTTAAAAAAAAAACACTGTAACGCGCGTTACTCACATTTGTACCGAGTAAAATATTACTATTTTTTCCCCTGTAATGCCTTACATTACTGCGTTACAGCAAAAAGTAATGCATTACTGTAATTCGTTACTTTTTATAACGCGTTACTCCCAACACTGGTGACAGCAGAAAAAAGGCATCACTCCGACAGAGCTAAGGTCACCTGCAGAGACAGAGGCAGGAGGAAATGCATCTCACCGAAGATGATGCAAACTGCCTCATCGGACATTGCAGACAGCCAGCTCTATAGCACCTATTTATACTAATATACGTGATACGAGCGATTTTTACCCAATTCCAAGAACCTTTACTGTTTTTTTTGTTTTTTTTTGTATTTCTCGTGTGTTAAATTTTTGCTGTGGCTTTACATTGAGAGCATAGTGCTGGATCTCTAGTTCTTCATCAGTTAAGCTACTTAATAACTTTTGGATTGGTCCATTTATGTCATGAAGGATCAGTTATAGTTCTACTTGTCCTACGCTGTAGACAAACACACCAGTAGTCATTATGGCCATAATGGCCATAATGACTACTGGCCAAAATAAAACCCAAAACAAATAATTACTTGTTAATTCAGTGTAGTGTCTCTCACCTCGAACAGTGATGTTTACAGGCTCTGTAGAGCTGCCGTCCCTCTCACACCAGTACACACCAGAGTCCATGGGAAACAGGGCCATTGAGCATGAAGAACCTTTTATATCTGCCCCCCATTCAGAACAGGCCTTGTTCTGTTCTGTGCTGGTGTTCCTCTTCAGAGCCCAGGGTCCAATGTCTCCACAGCTCAGAGACACTTTGTCCCGACTGAAGAACTGGGACTGGTCTGGACTCACCCTCAGAGAGACTGTGGAGTAGAACATCCATAGAGGTATTTTATAAACTCTGTAAATAATTTGAGTTTGAATCATTTATTGTTGTGGGATTATGTAATACATTCACTTATTCCCCCCTGAAACTAAGCACCACTACTATCTAAATAAAAAGAGAAATAAAAATACAAAAAGAAAAAAGTCTCAATATGCAAATAATATTGCCATTAAATTGAAGAAATATATTGGCCTATATTGTAAACTGGTCAGGGAGTCTAAAAGATTTTGACTTAAACATTTAAAGGCTCTGAAAACCTGAAAAGAAATATTTCTAACAAAACATTGAATGAATTGACTCAGTTAAAATATGAATATAATATTATACTATCAAAGAAAACTGAATATTTTCTTTTCAAATCTAAACAAAGAATTTTTGAATCAGGTGACAAAGCAGGCAAATTACTGGCCAGATATATTCAACAAAAAGAATCAAAGTCACTAATAGCAGCTATAAGGGATGCTGAAGGTAATTAATATAGTAATTTTTAGTATTTAAAAATTACTATATTAATATGTATACATCAGAATGTTCTGCCACAGATATGGAAATTGATAGTTTTATTAGCAACCTGAATCTCCCCAAGATCAGTACAGAACAAAAACACAATTTAGACTCTCCTATAACTACAGAAGAAATATTAGAAACAATTAAGGCACTACCATCAGGAAAATCACCAGGCCCAGACGGGTTTATGTTTGAATTTTATAAATGCTACGCAAAAGATCTAATGCCCCTGTATCATAAGATGCTCATGGAGGCATATGCAACTGGATCATTACCCCCATCATTAAATCAAGGTATCATTACATTATTATTATTATTAAAAAAGACAAAGATCCAACTGACTGTAAAAACTATCGACCTATTAGCTTAATTTCAGCAGATTGCCAAATAATTTCAAAAATACTTGCTAAACGCCTTGATAAAATTCTAGGCTCTGTTGTTCACCCAGATCAAGTGGGCTTTGTAAAGCAAAGAAACGCATCAGATAATATTCGCAGACTTCTAGATATTATGTGGCAAGTAAAAGACTCAGATGATCCAACTGCTGTTATATCTTTAGACGCTGAAAAAGCATTGATCGTCTTGAGTGGAAGTACATGTTCTATACGCTAAGAGCTTTTGGTTTTGGTGAAACATTCCTTAAATGGATAAAGCTATTGTATTCAGATCCATCAGCTGCAGTACAGACTAACGGTCTTATATCTCCCTTTTTTAGGCTGAACAGAGGCACACGCCAGGGTTCAGCTCTCTCCCCTGGCCTGTTCTGCCTCGTGCTTGAACCCCTCGCTACAGCAATTAGAAACAATCCAAATATTAGGGGTATTAAAGTTGACAAGTATACGCATAAGATTATGTTATATGCTGATGACATTCTATGGATTACATCAGATCCGCATATATCCGTACCAGCACTATTGGAGACCATAGAATGTTTTTCAAAATGATCAGGTTATAAAGTTAACTGGTCAAAATCTGAAGCCCTACCGTTAACTTCATACTGTCCGAAGAACCTATTTCAAGCAGGCTCATTCCAATGGCCAGCAGAAGGCATCTATTACAATGTTTACCAATCACTATACCCCAAAAATATTTTGATAAATTTGATCGTATTTGTAAGCTATTTTTTTGGAATGGGAAACGTCCCAGATTAAAACTGACTAAACTGCAAATGCCAGTAAAGAAAGGAGGTTTGGGCCTCCCTAAACTAATTCTTTATCATTATGCCTTCTGTCTGAGACACATTGCTCAATGGGCATTGCCACCTGAACGAGCCCCTCCATGGATGGGAATAGAGTCTAAATTGTTCTCTCCACTCAGTCCAATAGATGCTCTAGCAATTAAAAAGACCTCTCAGATTAAGTCCCATCCCATTATAGCAAATCTCCTTAATGTATGGAAAAAGATTTCTCATATATTTAATTTAAATGTACATCTTAATACTGAATCTTGTATTTGGAACAATCCAAAGCTTTTAATAGATAAACAGTGTTTTGTGTGGAAGGACTGGCTCACCAGGGGAATTGTTAAACTTGCAGACTTGTATGAGGGAGATGCATTGAAATCATTTGAAAAACTGACACTTGAATATAATTTGCCAAAAAATTATTTATGGAAGTATCTGCAACTTCGAAGTCTACTTAATACAGTTATTGGAAATTACTCTTCCCCTCAACAGTCAACTCTTCTATCACAAATAATTAAAAAAATGGGACTGGGACATGAGGCATCTTTTTATTACAGTCATATTTTTCAACATAAGCATCCGATGCTCTACACGTTAAAAACAATCTGGTCTTCAGATCTTAATATTAATCTGACAGACGAAGACTGGAATAAAATATGTGAAAACACAAATAAACTGTCTAGAGATGTGAAAATCAAGTTAATTAATTTTAAAATCCTGAATCGCTTCTATTGGACTCCATCACGGTTATTTAGACTCGAGCTTAAAGACTCAGAAAACTGCTGGAAATGCCAAGCCAAAGGAACTCTGAAGCACCTCCTCTGGGAATGTCCTCTGATACAAAACTATTGGAGGAAGATTCATGGGTGCATAAAAAATATCACTCAAAACACTTTTGAATTCACCCCTCAGCTTTACATTTTGAGTGATCCAAAAATGACTTCTAGATGTCCATCACCAGAGTTTATTCAAACTAGTATTATGATTGGAAAACAAATAATAATGAGACATTGGAAAGACCCAGAGGAGCCAGCGTTTCATGAGTGGTTCACAGAACTGGCTAAAGTAGCCTCTTATGAACAGATGTCATTTAATATGTCAGATCGAATTTTAGCCTACAAAAACAAATGGAAAGCATATTTAAACTATGTTAACTGTGACAGTGGTGGAGAAAATTAAACTGTATGAAGTGAGGAGTAACTGTAATGCAAAATGTAAAGGATTTCAGTGGTTTTCTGTTTAAGGGAAAAAAAAAATAAAATACTGAAATGCTGAAAATGTGTACTCAGTACAAATGTATATTCTAAAATGTACTGTATGAATTTGTAACCCGACTGCCTCCCATTTTTTTTTTTTTTTTTTTAGTTACTAACTTATTATTTACTTTATACCTGTATGTATATATGTAGGTATGTGTATGTATATGAGTATGTATAGATGTATGTATGTGTATATGTATGTGCATATTGGTGTATGTGTAAATATGTATTTATGTGTATATGTGTATATATGTGTACGTGTGAATGTATGTGTGTGTGTGTATATGTATATATATATATGCATATATAAAATGTAATAATATATATATACCTGGTACACGCTTAGTATATGTTGTATGTATTATATACATGCATATATAATCCTTTTTCATTACAGCATGTATATTATGATTTTATGTGGACAAAAAAGCACTGAATAAATTACAAATTATAAAAAAACTAAAACAAAACAAAAAAACAAAAAAAAAAACATTTAAAGGCTCTGTTTGTATCCACATTAAGTGCTGCATCTTTGCCTCCACTTCATCCAAATGACATGTTGTAAAACATGGGGACTGTGGAGATAATTAAATAATTATAGTTTATTCTAAATGCACATTCTGCTTTGTTCATGTAATCATAAGAACTTGTTTTTAAAGCACAAATGTACACTTTTCTGCTCTTCAACAGGCATCATAACTGTTTTTTCACTGACTGTCTGATTTACTAATCTTATTGAGAATAAAATGTAAAAGAAAAAGCTACAAGAGTCTGTAGAGATTTTAAAGATTTTCAAACAGATTTCCAGGTCCCTCCCTATAAAAGGAGGCTCACACACCTGTAAGCCTGTTTGCACTCTGAGGAAGACCATGCTGCACCAAAACACATTAGTGTGTATTTTATGTCAGTAGTCATGCTGTAATAAAGGAATTAAAATTTGGCTTAAATAACAGAGAGCCTTGAATTTTTGTCTTTGGGAAAATTTAACACACAATTATTTTGCTCCATATTATACCAAAAAGACAAAGCATTAATGTTATGAATAGGAGTTAGAAGAGAAGAGATAGATAGAAGAGTTAGAGGAGGTACTCACAGTCCATGGCAGAGGTGCTGTTCATGTGAGGAGACCTACAGTCAGAGCTCAGACTCTCCTCTACAGGAAGTGACTCTCACTCACTCTAACGCTTTTAAGACTTCAGCTGAGTCCATAAATTTACAGTTTGTTGAGCGGCTGAATTCTACATCGCAGCTTTCATATGAAGGTAAATATGTTGTCGATGATGTCACTCTGTTCATGCAAATATCAATCTACACATTTATTCATATTTTTCTCCCGTGTATGTAAATATTTTTCCACAAGTGAAAATTTCAGTCCGCAAATGCACACATTTTTTTTAATGTGTTTTTTTTTTTTTTTAAACAGGTAATTACACTGTTACGGGTAATTACAAAAACTTTGAACAAAGTTTTGTTCTACACATTCTCACATTATATTCTACAAGTTCTCAAATCAAGTTTACACGCTCTCTCATTTTGCAACATATTTACCTTCATACTTTCGCCCAGAGTAAGAGACTGTCTTTAGACCTCAGAGGAGGAGTGTGTTTAATATTGTTTAACAAGATTATTAACAATATAGCACCTCCACCACTTAAAAGGTTATTCGCAATAAGATCTGAACAGATGACCAGAACAACAAGGCCCACATGGAGTGGCCAGTGTAGTTCCTAAAAGAAGAACAGCACTAGGCCAGTAAGCAAAAGTTTAGTGCTGAATTAAGAATATATATTTTAACAACACTGAAGTGCCAACATTAAGTGCCAACTAATGTAGCAAAATCAACTTATAACCAAATAACTAAACAACTAAATTACATCTGATTAAAGGCACAGAGAAAGGTGGGAAGGAGATAGACATGTTTAATGTCACTGTATTTTTCATATTTATGTATACAGATTGCATTGTTTATGCTTTTGTATTCTATGTTTGATCTGTCTCAGGGACTGCAGATGGAAATTAGCTCCTAGA